TAGGAGTAGGGAGAAGGGGACCAAGGAGGAGAGTGGCGAGGTACCTACCTGGCTATGGTGGACATCATCTTCATCACCTTGTTAGGCGCTGCATCTGGAAGGCCCCAGTTGGGGTAGTGTCGCATCAAGGAAGCTCGGGACAGAGTCAGGCATGGCAGTTGAGTGGGCAGCGGCATAGTTGCTTGATGTTGACCTTGGTCCAGGAGGGCAGCGACATAGCTGCTTTGGGTTGTCCTTTGGACAGGAGGGTAGAGTCCTCAGTGCTCCGCCATAGCCTCGGCCTACGTGAAGAGGAAGAGGAAGGGTGGCCATGGCTATGGTGGACGTCATGTTGTGCCTGCAGTAGAAGTGGGATTCAGACGTGATTCTGGCTCAGCCATTCGACAGTATTATTGTTATTTCTTGTTTGAATAAGAGGGGAGGAGATAAGTAGAAGGAGACTAGTTGGTGAAGAAGAAGAGCATTATCTTTGGTCTATGCTGGAGTACATCATCTTCTTCTTCTTTCTTACTTCTTCTTCTTCTTCTTTCCCTCTCTCTCCTCTCAAGTTCAGTCATTTCTTTGGGCAATTGGACGACATTGTCCTTTTTGATGAATGTATGCTTCGAAATTGGCCAGGATCGTAACATTGGTACCGAAGCAGATTCTACTCGCTGGCGAGAGTTAACTTGGCCGTCATAACCCTGACCTAAGTGGTAAGGGCTAACCACTTAGGGTTAGGGCTGGAAGTTTGGGTTAAGTGGGGCAGCGTGGTGAAGGGAAGCTGCTCCCACCTGGCAGGGCCATGTAGGATCGACATTAGAACCGGCCAGGTTGCTTGAGTGCATGTTTGTGGTGGCGAGACACAAGGTGGGACTTCGTGCAATCGGAGAGAGGCGACAGTGAAGGGCACCTACAACTTGAATCAGGACTTCAAGGAAGACGAGGAGTGACTTTAGGGCTCCCCTCAAGTTAGGCGAGCTTGAGGGTGGCAGCCATATTTGCACCTATGGACTGCAAGTTGCTACTTTGATCTTCAACATCGACGGGGGATCTGACGTTGTACTTTGGGGTAGATGTTGAGCCTCCTCGATGATAGGACACTAGTGTAGATGCAAGTTGCTACTTTGATCTTCAACATCGACGGGGGATCTGACGTTGTACTTTGGGGTAGATGTTGAGCCTCCTCGATGATAAGACACTAGTGTAGAAGATGCTAATTGGGTCGGGAGGACTATGTGAGACGGGGGTGAGTTTCTTTCATCTCAAGAGCCCGACCACTCAGGTAAGTGTCGTGTCGCTAGGGTGCCCATGTGTGTGTGCATGGACCTGACTGCTTGGTTGGGTATTCTGGGTTCTTCCATCCTCCATAGTCTTGATCGTGTGTGAGGTGTGTGAACTACTTACTCACCTAACGAGTGAATGAATGGAGTATCTTGTGTGCCATGCTATATCTTTCTAAAGTGCTTTGTTTATTTCATTCTGAACGGTTGTAGTCTGTAGGTTCTTTCTGGGGCTGAATTTCGTTTTTCAATTCGGGAGGGGCAGGGAGTAGGTTTTTTTTGTGGAACTCTTGTTGGTTGGGACCCGATTATGACTCCACTGGGACCGTTTGGGACTCAGTGGGATCGCGCCCGAACAAGAAGGGCCCCTCATGCCCAAATCTGTTGACGTCTGTTACCTTGCTCTATTTCATTTGGACTCAGAGTTCATGCTTATGGACCAGGACACTCGCTGCTAAGGGCATCTCAGCCGAGACGTTGTAACGGACTTTACCGCACGATCCGCCGCCTGACTCGCACCTTGGACACCACTCAATTCTCTCTTGCATTACGTAGTACACTTTGAATTTGATTTGTTGTGTTTTCACGGAGCCGAGTCCGACTAGGTTTGAGAGGACCTCGTACGTAGTCGGCCAGACTGTGTGGCGGAATCAGATCTCTCCGATCTTTATTTTTTTGATTATTGAATGCTCTCCAGTCCAAATGAATTGTCGTTCCGGCTAGGAGTTCTACCTTCTCTTCTGATTGCTTTTAAGTTGTTTCTTTCATTGGGTTCGGTAAATGCCTGCGCCTACACGATCGCAAACGAGAGAGAAAGAGAGAAGAGAGAAGCTTATGAGTGTTGCTCTTGAGGGGGTGAGGAAAAGGAAGAGGAGTGTTCGTCCCCGAAGTGTGAGGAAGTATGGACCTCTCTTGAGAGACTTGTTGACACCCTCGTCCTCCATCATGGCATCCGACAATAGGAAGTGCGGCAGCCCTCGATGCTGTGCCAGTCCGGGTGAGACAATGACGGCCTTCATGGCCCGCCTGTCCACCTACATGCAGCAAGTACAAAAGGAACAGTGACGTGAGGCGGCAGCCAAAGCCGCACGCCTCAAAGCCATTGCAGGAGACGCGGAGCAAAGGCGCCGGCAGGATGCTGAAGCAGCTGTCAACCATAATAAAGCTCAATGAGATGTCGCATCCGTCCTCATGCAGCAGGAAGCCGCTCATACCGCCGCTCTCCAAGATTGGAATTTCGATCCGGCGGAGACGCACACGGAAGCAAGTGTGCAGGAACAGACCAAGTCAGCTCTCACGAGCATCATGCACCAAGTCATCCTCACTTGTAACTGGCAACAAGTGGAGCTGCCCAACAGGCACTTATCATTTTCGATTATGAGGAGACTCTCCATGCCCTCCTTGAGGTGCTGGAGAAGGATGACGTGCCGCACAGGCACATGGCATCCTCAAGCATTGATCCATCGATCCGCGAGCTGGAGGAACGAATGGACAACCCGGTAGTGCTCGTCGGAAATTTGAACAGTTTCCAAGGAATGGCGACCATCAGCCAACAAATAGCCGCCCTACAAGCGGACCTCTATCAGCTGCAGCAGCAACCAACCGGGACCTGCAGCAGCATAACGTCTAAATAGTACAAGATGTTGAAGTTCAGCATCGACAAGTTTGATGACTACCACAAGGCGGACCCCATAAGTTGGTGGCAAGGGTTCACCAACGAGCTCTCCCTTGCCTTGGTGCCAGCCAAGTGTGGCTCAATCACCTGGCACAAACCGAAGGCGTCGAAGTCGCTAAGCTCTACACCAAGATCACTAGGGAGGCCATGACTGAGAAGTGGCGGAAATGCTTCATCGTCGACGACGCTCAAAGCAAAGGCGCAAAGTGGATCTTTACCATGCACTAAGGCAGCCAGTCAGCACGCAAATGGCTAACTGTGGCATACTGCGTAGCCACACGGGCCCTGCAGGGCCCGTCCCGCACTTTCAGCCTAAAAGCCTAGAAAATAGGGCTTACAGGC